TAGGTTCCTCGGCCTAGGCCATTTCTACATAGCCACAATTTTTGTATGTCAGCTGCCACTCCTTGGGATACTATATGTCCCAAGTACTCTACACTGGACTGGGCGAAGCTGCACTTCTTTAGGTTGGCTCTTAGTTGATGCGCCTATAGAACTCCCAGAATCACCTTTAAGTGTTCCAGATGCTCCTCAGTTTTGTTGTACACCAGGATATCATCAAAGAATACTAGAACAAATTTCATGAGGTATTACTTTAACAGCCTGTTCATCAAAGATTGAAAAGTAGCGGGGGCGTTAGTAATTCCAAATGACATTACCAGAAACTCATAATGACCTTCATGTGTCTTGAAAGTTGTCTTTGAAATTCTACCTCCCTCATCCTGATTTGGCGGTACCCTAATTTTAAATCCAACTTAGAAAATATGACCGCCCCATACAATTCATCTAAAAACTCATCAATCACAGGAATGAGGAATTTATCTTGCATCGTCTCTTTATTGAAAGCTCTATAGTTTACACAGAATCGCCAGCTTCTATCCTTCTTTTTTACCAGTAGGACTGGACTAGAGAAGGGACTCACACTCGGTTGGATAATCCCAACCTCCAGCATTTCTCGGATCAGCTTCTCAATCTCATACTTTTGAATTTGAGGGTAGCGGTAGGGACGAACACTGATCTGTGACACCCCTTCCTTCATTGTAATGGCATGCTGTAACTCCTTCTGTGGTGGTAGGCCCTTGGGGAATTGAAAGACCTCGATGTATTGCTGTATGAGTAACTGTACTGAAGATGGAATGTTGCCCTTCTCCTCCAGTTTGACTTCCTCCAAATGATGCAACTCTACCAAATATCCACCGCCTATCTCTTGTATGGTTCTTATCATGGATTTGAGTGATACTCCTACTCTGGATAGCCCCACATCGCCCTAAATCACCATCTTCTTCCCTCCACCAACAGTTCCATCCTTAGTGCTCTCCAATTTACTTTGCTCTTCCATCTCTAATCCGCTTCCACCTCCCTCTTCAGCTTCCTCATCATCACAGATGGTGAGAACCTGATGAGTTCGGTCCTTACAACTATTCCTTGACATGTACTTCTCATCACATCTAAAACATAACCCTTTTGCCCTTTTCTCTTGTCTTTCCTTCTTCGTCAGTCTTTTGAAACTTCCCCCATTCCCCCCTCTTCCAGCTCTCTCCTAGGGCCTTTCTTTTAGACTCCCTAGGGCTGGCCCTTTGGGAGCAAAGAAGGTGGTGGTCATTTTGTACAATCCCCCTGAGTGGCTCGCTCTAGCCCCTCTCTCCAGCTGCTTATGATCTTCCACTAATTGGGCTAGCTCCATGGCCTCCCCTAAGCCTCTTAGCCTCATCACCCGAAACGTTGCCCTTATCTCCGGTTTTAGTCCTTTCATAAAATTCCCTTCCAACACTGTCTCAGAGAGCTGATCCAATCTGTTGGCCAAGTATTCAAATTTGTCACGGTAATCTGCCACGGTCCCCTCCCATGTCAAGGCAAAGAATTGTTCATAGAAATCTCCTCCCTTACCAGTTCGAAAACGTTCTAATAAGCACTCTTTGAACTCCCTCCACCTCCTAATGGTTTGCCTTAGGTCACGCCATTGGTACCTTGCCAATGTCTTTCCTTCCAAACATAGTTCTGCTGATGTTAGCTTCTCTTCCTTCGTCAATTCATTGATGACAAAATATCGTTCCCCTTGTAGATCCACCTATGACCATCCTCGCCCTCAAAGATGGGCATCTTCATCTTCTCACCTTCGAGTCACCTCGAATTCCTCCATATCTTCCCATCCCGTGAAAGGTGCTCCCCGGTTGTCTTGATCTTCTCTCCGACGATCGTATCCAAACTTGTTATCAACATATCCTCTTTGTCTTTCAAAATCAGCTCCTCGGTGGTAGAAAACCTCTCTTCTACCTGCAAAATCAGCAGCTCTTCTTTCGAATCAGGTGCTCATCTCCTCCCTAGAACGAGGTTCTAGAGGAGGCATTCCATCTTCTCCCTCCTGGATTTCATCTTCCCCTCCACGTGTTAGGGTTTCCACCCCTGCCATGGCCGTCGTAGGTTTCCCTTGCTTTTGATGTTGTCGGATTGGTCTTCACTTCTAGTAATTTTTTCGATATTTCTTCCATCACGGCGAACTTTCCTTCTATCTTTTAATTATTGGAGGAAATCTGATTTTGAAAATCAGAAAACTTTCCCTCCAAATCTGATTTGAGTTGCTTGATTTCACATTCCAAAACCTCCTTTTTTCCGGCCATAATTTTTCCAACCGCCTAAGAACAATCTTCTTCCGGATGAGATTTTATTGCCGAAATCTTCTTTCCAACTAATATGTTAGTTATTCACAATATTTTCCATGTGTCACTGCTAAGGAAATGAGTTATAGATGTCCGCTAAAGGCTTTCATATGATAAATTAACCTACAGAAAAATCTGACTTATATTGAAGAACTAGAAAGAATAGTAGATTTTAATATTAAACAGCTTAGAAACTATCAGATCCCTTATATTAAAGTGAAATGGAAATACAGAACAGGAAAAGAGGCAATGTGGGAGAAGGAAGAAGACATTAGACTGAAATTTTCTCATTTGTTTGATGACCACTAAGATAATGAATTTTGAGGACGAAATTTTAATGAGGGGTGGATTATATTACTCAAAGTTTTAAAAAATGTAAACATAATTTTTGGCTCAAAATTTACCCCATCTTATCACACCTCCCTTAAACATCAAATTTATTTTCATTAAATTCTATTTTTAATTTCGAATAATTTGATATTTAGAAGTATATCTAAAATATCAGTGTAATTATATCTATAGACATTCATTTTGTAGTTATTTTATATTTAGTTATTGTATCAAGCATGGTTAATGAACATTTAATTAGATGTACTATAGCAGATTTTTTTTAAATAAGCCTTTTTCACTTACCTTTGCATGCTACGACCTGATTCAATCAACGACTGATAGTGCATTGAGACGATAGTAGTGGGAAAAGCATTAGATATTATATTATTATATAATTAAGTAAAGTAAGCATCAGCCTATTAAGCCTTTCTTTCCCATGCCATTTTCCCCACCCAATTCTCTCTGGATGTGAAGCAGCCGTGAACAAGCAGTGAAGTAGGAGGCGGAAGGGCTATGGCTGCTAGGAGAGGAAAATCTTAGAAAATAGTAAGGGAATAAAGGAAAAAGGGAAGGAAAGGAAGTAGGGGAAAGAGGTTAGGAGAAGAAGGGAGGTTGAATTGAATGTCAAATTTATTTGAGGTCAAATTTTACAGTCTTTTGGTATTATAGCCTCTTTTATTCTATTGGAATGCATTTTTGAAAGACAAAAATGTTTGCTTTAGGTTGTTTACAAGAGGAAAAAGGTCAGAGTATTGTAGGAGAACAAACTCATAACGGGGTGAGACACTCGATTTATAGTATAGAGCATGAGATCATTTTATAAATGCGGGATTTACATACATACTACTTTATTTCATATTATTTAAATATCTAATACCTAAAACTTTAATATTACATGCCTACCACCCATAGAACAAATATGGGTGCATGGGATGAAATATTAAAGTTTATAGGAAGATATGTGTTGTAAGAATGAAATATAGGAGTGATATTTTTAATATTAAAATTTTATATGAGTGGTAGGAATGTAATATTAAAGTTTTGGGTGTTAGATATATAAATATCAAAAAATAAAGTGGTATGTATGTAAATCCCCCTTTATATATTTATGGTAATTATGGTAGCCAAGAATTTTATAATAAGCAGGTTGTTTGTTTACTGATTTGTTAACTATTAAAATGAGTTATTTGATAAACACTACAATGTGATACTACAAAATGACACTACAACTATTGGTTATGAATATCTGAATGTTAGTGAAAAGGGAAAATGTGAAAAATGTCGTACATGTAAAAGGTGAAAGACCCGACAAGATAAGTTTTAGGGATCGTTTAAGAGGTACATGACTCTTAATTCTAAAAGTTGAAAATTTGGATTCAACCTTGAATAAGAGAGTTGAGAATTCGGACGCAACCTTAAATGAGAGCTGTAAGTGTACAAAAGTCTATATTCATCATATGATTTGTCTAAAGTATTTGAAAGTAAACAGAATATGAAACGTGAAAAGTTAAATATACATTGATATCTTGGATGGCTTATGATTCTTATAGAAATCTCAATATTATTTGCAATTGAATGCAAATTTTGTGTTTATTATTTCTTATGCTATGCTTATGTATTTCATTAAGCTTTAACTCATTAACAGTTGATGTACTGTGGGAAAGGGGAAAGAGTCAGTTGGGCTCTAGGCAGGAGATCAACTGCACTTTTTATATATATATACATTTGATTGTGCATGTAAGTTAGAGTAGGAAATTGTACCGTCAAACTTTTGGATATATAAATTTTATTTGACAAGTTTAGTATGCTCTATATTTTATTTGATGAGTTATGAATATACTTTCAAATATGAATTTTGTAGAACAATTTTTAAAACAAAAAATGTATTGTGTTAGGATAGTCTGAATAGATCATTGTCTAATAAATCGATTCTGATAGAAGTAATTCAGGATGAGTGTTAGTAAAAGATATATCTGTTCAGATTCTTCTTATCTATTACACTCTAGATTGATTGAAGGGGGTCAAAATGGGGTGTGATAATTGGGGCCTTCGATTTCTTATTGTTTGGTTGTGATAGAAGTGCAAGTGGCTTATAATCCTTATAAAATTACCATACACACACACATACATACACACACACATATATATATATATATATATATATTGTGTGTGTATAAAATAAATAGACATACAATAACTATTTAATCTATCAAATGTAAGCAACATTTCACAATACAGCTATAATGAGGACTTGGTACAAGCATTCTTAATCCAACTTTTCATAATAATCCAACTTGTCAAACATATTTCACCTTGTAAAAGTAATATTACCAAGTCTTCCAATATAATTTTTATCAGATAAGCAAAAGAGGTGACACAGTAGATGAAAAGATAAATAAGCTTGACTCTGAGCTGGCTAGATACAAAGAGCAAATCAAGAAAACCAGACCAGGTCCAGCTCAAGAAGCTCTTAAAGCTCGTGCAATGAGGGTACTTAAACAAAGACGGATGTACGTTAACTTTCTCTTTTTTTAGTATCTTTACAAATATATAGCTGATAGCTCAGCCTATTTCATGTATAAGTTTTTCAATTTTCTTGGTAAAAATCGCAATCGTCAGTTGTTAGTGAATCTTCTATTGTTACTAACTATTAATTTGATTCTGTAAGCTTAATTGATTTGACGTTTCTGAATACTTGAATTACTTTATTACTTACCCAATTGTGCAGTGGTATTGATGTCCTCTACAAGTGATATATGCTTGTTACTTTTCTAGCTGTTTGACTCTATTTAGTTCGTAGTTGCATACGCTAAGGATTTTCCTCTTGTTCAATGGCATACCAAATTATTGAGCTGGTTTTCCTACGCAGGATACAATGTTTGTTTGTTTACTTTGCGTGTGTATCACTGATTTTTTTCTTTTTTTCTTCTCTTGTTTTGATTGGCAGGTTAAGGTTGATATCAATTTTTTTCTTTGATTTTGCTTGACCATTTATTCACTAATTTGCTGTGTCATTCCTTTTATTTATGCGTAGTGATACATTGGCACTATTGCAAAGCACAGCTTAGAGTGTCCATTGACTTATGTATGACTTATGTATGTGTATAGGGGTGAGCATGCATGTGCATGTTAGGGAGGGAGGGAATCTTTTAATTGCAATTCATAATTCAATAATTCCAAATGACATTCATTCAACACCCATATTTAGAGGATTATGGTTACAAGATAAGACCAAACTAACTTAAATTCAAATATAGATAAATCCTAATAATCGTACTTGCTAATTTAAAATAAAGATAATCCTAAGTAATTAAATATAAAGATGAAATAAATCGTGTAATAAATATTATTATAATCTTAAATACTATATTATATTAGAATTAGTCTAGGAATATTTTTTGTGTTTTGTTCTTAATTAATACTCTGGAACTTTGGTAGAAGCCCATTTTTCTAAATTTGATTTTCATGGTGGAGGTGGTGAAGTTGCTTTATGAACCTCTTTTGTATTACCATGTGCAATCTAAACATTAAGTAGAATTTGAAAGTTTATGATCTAGATGTCTTCATGTATTATCCATTTTTCTTAAAATAGTATCATTAGAGAGCCCATAGTTACATGGCAATGACATTAAGTAGTAAAATGAACACAAGCTATGTTTTCAGTGAGGAATCATGTAATACTTTTTGGAACATGTGGACCAACTTACATTGTTGGTGAAAAATCAAGCAAGAATACGAAAATATGGGAAAGTTTCTTTGTCTCGATAGTATAAGATATTTCAATAATAATCTTCATAGACCCATTCATCACAAAGATTAGGGTTTTGAATTGGAGGTGACAAAAATGCCTTAATTTTCTGAATTGATGCATATTTCTAAACTTTTGAATTTGATAAATTGGTATGCATTATGGTATATCATCATGATGAGATGGTTTTGGATTGGAATGAACATGACTTTTATAAGCATAACCATCTTAAGATCCATTGTAATATGATTGATTAGAGTTGCCATTTTGATAAAAATAAGAACCATGATCATATTGATAAATTTGAGTCATATGTGAGATAGTTGTATTATTTCTTAATAGTTTCATCCAATATCTTATAGTAATATTTTGACCTATCATCATATGACATACTTATGCTGATATTACCTAGTATAATTACTTACCCTAAGCCTTATAATGATGAGGATCATATATTTTACCCAAATCCAAAGCATATCCAATACAATGTTGTGTACTTAGATATGATGAAGCATGTCAATTAATTCATAATGTTAATTCCATAATGAATAAGGTGAATTTTGTAGTTTCTATATGTGATTTTCTTATGTTTGTGATGTATCTGAGGCATAATCTTGGCATCTTACTTAAGAATTATTATACAATGATCATTATAAAATTTAACTTTAAACTCAATTTAAGCATAAAGAAGAGGAACTTGTTACCAATTTTGATGTCTCAAAAAATTATTGTATTTGTGAAATATCATGTCATTTAGGAGAAAGAGATTCAAATGCTTTATGATGCTCCCTAGAGGAGGGAGGTATTGAGAATGATAATTTCCACTTGGTGAGAGGACCATGAGAAATAATTGATGGAGAGGGAGAAAGGATAGATTGGTAAAAAGAGAATATGACGAGGAAGTGTACATTAAGAGAAAAGTGAGGGAGGGATGGCTCTTTTAATTCTAGTTCTTGCTTCAATAGTTTGTAATAATTACCATTCAACCCTATAGATGTAGTAGTTCAAGAATTCAAGATAAGATTAAACTAATTTTATTCAAATGTAAATAAATACTTTAATAATCCTATCATTTAATTAAAAATTAAGATAATACTAATAATTAAATAAAATAAAACTAAAATAAATTCCAAAATAATCCAAAATATAGAATTATTTGTGTGTGTATTGTGCGGTAAATAATTCAACTTTCCATCATGATGCGCTTTTTGGTTAAGGTTGACTATGAAAAGAATGATAATAATATGTAGATTACATTGGTCATTGGATTTATCATAATTTTCTCTTATCATTATCAATAGCCTTTGCCTAGTTGATTTGGATTCACTTTATAATCTTCATTATTTGTTTATTCATATTAATTGTTGCATGAAATGTTAAAACCATTTTAGGGAATGTTTGATTGCTGAAAATGAAATGCATAGTAAAACGGAATACAATGCAAAAAAAAAAAGTATTTGAACTATTTGGAGTTATTTGGATGAGTGTAAAATAAACACAGGTGATTGTTTTTTTTTGTTGGCTTGAAATAAAAGAAATGTAGTAAAACCATAGTGCTAGTGGCCGGAGGTGGTGTTAGAAGGTGTTTGGTGGCAACGATCAGTGGCAACAACAGAGTCTAGGGGTGTAGGTGAGTCAAGTTAACTCATGAGTCAGCTCGAGCTTGGCTTGATTAATGGCTCATGAGCTGAGCTCGATGAGTTAACGAGTCATGCTTGAGCTAACCTCAACTCTACTCGTAGCTCTTGAGTTGACTCTTTTAAAAAATGTTACTATAAAATACACTTAAAATATTAGAACTTAATAGTTCAAGTATAAGTCATTAAAAATATTTAAAAATTATATCTCACTTTCTTATATCAAGTGATTCTTTATTATTTTTCTTCTAATTTCTTATTCTTTTAATTATTTTATTTTAATAATTACTTGAATCATATCATTTTATCTTTTTATCATAAATGAGTTAGCTTTTGATTTGGCTTGAAGTTGTAAAATTAAGCTTGAACTTGAGCTCCAACTCGATTAATTAATCAAGCTCAAGCTAGGGGTAACCCGAGCGCAGCCCGATATGTTTACATCTCTAGTGGAGTTAGCTTGCAGTTTATTTTGGATTTCAATTGAAAACAGGTGAGTATAAAATACATTAAAAATGAACTATGGAGTGAAAAATAATTAACCTAAAATCTACTATGCATTCCTTTTTTTTTTCAAACCAAACCAAAATTTTCAGACTCCTGCATTTGGAATATTTTGCATTTATTTTTTAGCAAACTAAATTACCCATCTTTTTACGCAACTTCTATTCATGTAACCTTTGGTCTACACTTGATATTAATTTGACATACCCATTTTTACCATTTTCTCTGCATGTGCAAAATACCTACATTTTAGTTGACATAATCTCTTCTAGTTGAAATTGAAACTTCAAACTGTTTACTCACTTGTTTGACCCTTGCCTTTAATACATCTATAAAATAAGATTATGGTATTTATGAGTGGGTAGGTAAATGCATTCCAAAGTGTAACAACTTGTAATCTGAAATTGTACTTTCCTTTTTATAATCCATTATTCTAAAGATTTTAATTAGAAGGCATGCTATATTAAATAGATCATTTTAGTCACAACACTCTTATTTGCGTAGGCCTCTTTTGACACTTGTCATTCATTTTTCAATATTTTCATTCTATAAAACTTCTTCATTAAGTACTTTGTAACTTAGTTTAAAATTGTGCAATAAAAAGCTTTCCTCAAGGCCTTCATTAGCACAATTTTGAAAAAAAGAAATACCATAAGGTGTACGCCTTATGTTGTCTTTGGAGGTGTATGCCTCAATGGGTTTGAGGTGTGCCACAAGGTACACCTTGTGTAATTTGTAAGAGATGTAGGTCTCAAAAATTAGGGTTTAGATTATTTAAAATTTTTAATTTATAAATTTAATATACAAAACAAATTATATTTTATTATTTCTCTACATCTAAACCTAAAACAAACAAAATTGAGAACTAGAATTACACCGGTCCTCAACTCCTAGTCACATGCTGCACTCGCTTTTGTTGCCATAATTGTGAATTGCTAATGGCGCACCATGGCATAAAGGTCTCTTTGGAGCCATGACGCATAGCACGACATGACGTGCTATTTTGAACATGGCATAAACTATATAATAATTATAAAAAATAAACATGAAGTTGAAATATCATTAAATTGAAAGACAATTTATCATAATAATGAAAGGCAACCATAATAATGCATAAGTTCAAGTAAACAACACCTCAAATATCTTCTAATTCAAATTATTACAATCATTTTTTTAATGGATAATGTTTTATAAGAAAGATAATTAACTAGTTATTTTAGATTATTATGATATAAACTTCTTCGTTCAGACTTCGAAAAATGTTCTTCTCCCTCAATGCCTTTTTATTCTTGAATCGTTTCACCAATATGAAAAGAAAATTACACGTTGAGAAGAAATGAAATGCAAAAAAAAAAAAAAAAAAAAAAAAAAAAAAAAAAAAAAAATAGAAAGCACCAAAGGTATAATCTGTTGGAGAGGAAGATTAGTCAATACCTATATAGCTATAGCGGTGAAATAAGTCGGACAATAGATCAACAGTGGCGAAATCACATGAAGGAAGAAAAAAGACAACGAAGAAAGCAGTTGCGGAATCACGTGATTGAAGAAACAGATGAGGAGGAAATAGTAGCGGTCTCACGTGATGGAAGAAACAAACAGACCAAAATTAGACGAAGGAGAGGGA